GGGGGGTGTTGGAAAAGAACAGGAAAAAACATACCTCATCCTCACCAATCTGCCAACTGCAGATGCATTTGTCCATGACAATATAGGGAGGAGTGACCAATGCACAGTCCTGGTGGAGATGAAGTCTCATCTTCACATTGAGAATACCCTCCATCATGCTGTGTGGCACTACCACCATGCTAAATGGCTCAAACTTTGAACAGGTCTAACAACTGAAAACTGGGCATCCACGAGATGCTGTGGGCCATTAACAGCAGAATTTGGACTCCGACTCAAACTGTAACCTCATGGCCCAGCATATCTCTTATTCAACAATTACCAAAGCCAGGGGATCACCCTGGTTCAATGAAGAGTGCAGAAGGGCATGCCAGGAGCACCACTACCCATACCAAAAAAAAAATGAATAGTCATTGCAGCGAAGCACCCAAACAGAACTATTTGTTTGCCAAATGGTGATAGGTAGCAGCAAAATGATAGACAGGGCTGTGGGATTCTACAGCCAATGGATCAGATCTAAGCTTTGCAGTCCTGCCACATCCAGTCATGAATGATGGTGGACAAATCAAACAACTTACTGGAGGAGGCGGCTCACTGACACTGTGCAGGTTCTGCAGATCCTGACTTCATTAGACTTAGTTCAAACATGAACAAAACAGCCAAAATTCCAAAGGTTAGGTGTAAAATGACCAGCTTTGACATCAAGGACTGGAGTGCAAAGGCAGAAGTCACACAACACCAGGTTATAGAGTGCACTGAAAGCTTGTGATTCCAAATAAACCTGTTGGACTAAAGCCTGGCGTTGTGTGACTTCTGACTTTGTGCATCAGATGGTGGTCAGAAATGGGGATGTTTGCTGATGCTTGCACAATGCTCAGCACCATTCATAACTCAATTACTAATGCAATCCATGTCCAAAGACAGCAAGTCCTACACAACATCCAGGCTTGGGCTAACAAGTAACATTTGCACCTCACAAATGCCAGACAATGGCAACCTCCAACAATAATAAAAAAAAACTAACTCCTCTAACTACTGGAATAGCAGGAACTGTAGATGCTGGAGAATCCGAGACAACAAGGTGCAGAGCTGGATGAACACAGCAGGCCAAACAGCATCACAGGAGCAGAAAGGCTGACGTTTCGGGCCTAGAC